AGGCCAAGGCAGTGCAGGCTAGAGAGAGATGAGAGCGAGCACAGGAGGAGGGGCTGAGGATGCCAGGCCTGGCCCTTCTCCTTCACCCGCCCAAAGCTGGGGCAGGGGTGAGCTGAGATCATGTCTCTTGCTGGGGCTCTCACTTGCCTGCCCAGGCTGCACTGCCCAGGGGCCCAGCCTAGACGATGCAGACCCCCAGAAGAGCTGGACGGTGAGCTAGGCCAGGCAGCAAGACCCCTGCTGTCCTGCCCCCCCACTCCCAGTGCGCTTGGCTCCCTCACAGCCTGGGCCCATGGTGCCAAAGCTAGCTGGCAGGGGCTTGTTGCCCAGGGTGCCGGCCGACCCGTCCATTCCAAGGCCAGAAGGGAGCACTGTGATCACCTTGTCTGACCCCCCTGGATAGCAGGGGCCAGAGACCTGCCCCGACGGCATTCCTAGGGCAGAGCTGTTAGACCAACATCCAGGCTGGGCTGAGAGATTGTCCGGGATGGAGACTCCACCACGGCCCTTGATCAATGGTCCCAGTACTTAATTACTCCTAAGGTTAAAAATGTCTGTCTTCCTTCCAGGCTGAATGTCTTCAGCGTCCAGCCACTGGGTCCTGTCAGACCTCTCTCTGCTGGGCTGATGAGCCCAGTAGCAAATATCTGCTCCCCAGGTTGGTACTTACAGATGGGGATCAAGCCACCCTGTAACCTGCTCTGTGTCCAGCTCAAAAGACTGAGCTCCTGGAGTCTCTCACGGGAAGGCCCAGGCCTGCCCAGCCGCACCACACGAGGGCAGCCGGCTGCCTGGGTCCCTCAGACCCTCCAGCAGCTCCCTCAGATGGTGAAACGAGGCAGCGGGCTGACAGGAGCGCTAGGCTTGAAGTCCATGTCCAGGCGTGATGGTGGCAGACGCTGCCTGCATTGTGCATTGTGTTCTAGCAGGGTGTCCCTCGTCAGTAGCCGCACCAAGGGGGTTCCCCTCCAAGCCAGTGCTGCTGGGCCCGCCCAGCCACGTTACTGCCCACGCACTCAGCCGGGGTGCCGGGCATCCTCCTCCTCCTCCGCAGGCTCCCGGGACTGCAGGCCAAGGCAACTGGGGCAGAACCATAGTTTGTGAGTCAGTGCCTCCCTCCAATCCCACCCAGCCTTGGGGATGGACGCAGGCTGCCCTGGTGGGCTGCCCTCCCCTGCATGGGGTTGTGACGAAGTGGGACTGTTCTTAATGTTTCCTCTGAATAGTGTGGGGGTGCCTCAGTTTCCCCTAGGCAGTTCTTAAGTATCTAGGGGGTGGGGTAAGGGTGTATGATCATTGCAGAGCCCTAGAGGGCAGGTGTGTGCAGGAGTCTGGACACAGAGAATGGCTGACACCCTGTTTCCTGGCAACTGATGGCCTGGGCCCTTCCCCCCTGCAAGGTGAGATCTAAAGGGTTGGAGAACAAAGGAATCAGGTGACCTCCTGGCCCGGGAAAGGAACAAAGCCCAGAGGAGGAGGGGCTGGAGGGGGTTTTCAGTTGGGGGCTGGCTGGGACATGGAGTGAAGTGCAGACGTGGTTGTCTGGCTCACTGCCCCCCAAAATGGACCCAGCTGAGGGGTCCCGTTCTCTGCACCTGCAAGCTCTGTTTTAGACCATGTTCCTGTCGTCTAATAAACCTTCTGTTTTACTGGCTGGCTGAGAGTCCTGTCTGACTGCGGAGTTGGGGTGCAGGACCCTCTGTCTTCCCCAGGAGCCCTGCCTGAGCGGACTCGCTGGGGGGAAGCACACGGAGGGGCAGAGGATGCTGAATGCTCCGAGGTCAGACCCAGGAAGGTGGAAGCTGTGTGAGCTGTGTGTCCTGAAGACAGGCTGCTCACAGAAAGGCGACTGCCCCAGAGTCCTGACTGGCTTCATGGGGAGCAGTTCCAGAGCATCGCCCAGGGACTCCGTGACAACTGGTGGCAGTGGTGGGATGTACTGCACCCCGTGGATGGCGCTTCCTGCAGTAAGTGACTGGGGAGCAGTACCACGAAGGGGGATTGCCGAGGACCAGGCCTGCTGAAGGCTCAGAGAGGAGCGGTTTCGGGGGGCGGTTAACCCCTGGGAGTGTGTGACCAGCGAGAAGGACTGTGCAGTAATGGGGTCCCCCTGGGGACTGCAGTGAGCAGTCTCAGGGGCGGAGGAGTCTGCAGCTCGACCCTGGCAAAGAGGTGGTGACCTCGAGAAGGGCTGGCACACTAGGGGTTCTCCCTGGAAACCGTGGGGAGCTGAGAACACATGGGCCTGTGAGTCCACAACAACTTGGGAAGAGCGGAGTGACGGCCTGTCACTGTCTCCTTAAGAAGGACATTGTCACCCTGTGCAAACAGAGAGGGTTGAGCGTTGGAAAGTTCACCAAAGCAGAGTTAATCGTGCAGCTGGAGGAGGATGATCGCTCTAAGGAACAGATTCCTGACCCCAACTGGGGCTATAGCAGGATCTGGGAGCAGCTGGAGCGGGAGCCAGGCATCGCCAAGACTCCTGTCCCCGACCAGACGGGGGTCTTCACGATCGGGTTCCCCATCGGAGGATCAAGACGGACGGGATTGGAGCTGAGTCTGAGAGAGCAAGAGGACCGTGGGAGACAGCGAGAGCCCGAGAAAGAGCTGCAGAAGCAGCAGCAGCATGAACTGGCGGTGGGGGAGCGGAGAGGCCTAGGGGACCTCCCCGGGGTAAGTGGGGATAGATCCCGGGGGGCCAGTTCCGCAGGGAACCTCGAGACTAAATTGCTGCCCCTGGTTAAGGAGGGGGGGGGTGTGGATGCCCACCTCACTGCCTTTGAGCAGGCTGGCGATTTGAACCAAGGGGACCCTGCGGAAAAGCCCCGGTGTCTAGCTCCCTTGCTGGGTCCCAAGGCCACAGACTCCGTCAGCCAGATGGTTGGGGATGTGGACAGGCTCCCACTCCTGACCCCAACCTATATGTCTGTGTGGAGTTTCCTGGGGCCAGGCCCCCCGGACCTCCAGTGGGAGCAGAAGGTGATGGTCAATGGGGAGACATTCTTGGGGTGGCCAAAGGGCATGGGCTGCATAAACCTTCCCACATGCGGCCTGCGAGTGCTATCGACCACCCCTGACCTAAGGGAGGGCATGAAACTGGAAGGGCCTGGTGTAACTCCTACCAAGGAATGGGAGAGATGCTGGGGCATCCATGGGAACGTTGGTGGCTTCGAACTTCCCCAGGTCACCGGCTAAAGTGACCCCGCTCAGTTCGATCTCGAAGGGGGGAGAGATGTGACGAAGTGGGCCTGTTCTTAATGTTTCCTCTGAATAGTGTGGGGGTGCCTCAGTTTCCCCTAGGCAGTTCTTAAGTATCTAGGGGGTGGGGTAAGGGTGTATGATCATTGCAGAGCCCTAGAGGGCAGGTGTGTGCAGGAGTCTGGACACAGAGAATGGCTGACACCCTGTTTCCTGGCAACTGATGGCCTGGGCCTTCCCCCCTGCAAGGTGAGATCTAAAGGGTTGGAGAACAAAGGAATCAGGTGACCTCCTGGCCCGGGAAAGGAACAAAGCCCAGAGGAGGAGGGGCTGGAGGGGGTTTTCAGTTGGGGGCTGGCTGGGACATGGAGTGAAGTGCAGACGTGGTTGTCTGGCTCACTGCCCCCCAAAATGGACCCAGCTGAGGGGTCCCGTTCTCTGCACCTGCAAGCTCTGTTTTAGACCATGTTCCTGTCGTCTAATAAACCTTCTGTTTTACTGGCTGGCTGAGAGTCACGTCTGACTGCGAAGTTGGGGTGCAGGACCCTCTGGCTTCCCCAGGAGCCCCGCCTGAGCGGACTCGCTGGGGGGAAGCACACGGAGGGGCAGAGGATGCTGAATGCTCCGAGGTCAGACCCAGGAAGGTGGAAGCTGTGTGAGCTGTGTGTCCTGAAGACAGGCTGCTCACAGAAAGGCGACTGCCCCAGAGTCCTGACTGGCTTCATGGGGAGCAGTTCCAGAGCATCGCCCAGGGACTCCGTGACAGGGGTACAGGCAGTGCAGCCCCGTGCTGCGAGCCCGGCAGTCCTTGTGAACGAAGCGTTGCACGTCTCGCTCTCATCGCATCGTGGCTCCCTTCGGAACTCCGGTGCCCAGGGCGACTCTGCGGCCTCGCTGAGCTTCGCTTTCCTCTTGCCTGTGACTGGGAAAGGGGGCCGCCGATAAGCTGACGGCCTGGGGAGCATGCGGCGTGCATCCTTAGACAGCCAGAGCCTGGGGCTGGAGCCCTCCCCTCTCTGCAGCAGCCAGGGAATGTGCTTCGGGCCCAGGGCAGCTCGGAGCAGGGAGGTCTGCAAAGGACGGGAGCAGTTCTGGAATTCAGCGGAAGTCAGTGCTAGGGATTAGCGAGCCTCGTTTGCTAAACCTCGCTGCCCTCCCCAGTCCCTTACCCTGCATGGAACCAGCCCGAGGTCATGGCACCCGGAGTCCCAGCTGGGGCTGCCCAGGCTGGGAAGCGGGGGGCATGTGATGCCTGGGCTTTCTGGGCACAGCCAGCCGCTCTGCCCTGCTCAGCACAGGCTGGGGTTTGCAATGGCGCACTTTGCAACGGGGCCGTGCTGCACAACTCCCAGGTCTTGGTGCCTGGGGGCGTGGGAGCCAGGGTCGGGTTTGTCTCGTTGTTGAGGGTGGCCAGTCACAGCGCTGGGATCCAGCTCGCAGGGCCCGCAGAGCTGGGGCAGGTTTGGAGCAGGGGTGGGGGGTGGACGTGATCAGGCCAAGGGCATGGGCCACATGTAGTCTCTGCGCCCATGTGCCCCCTCCCCCATCCACTGAGCAGCAATGGGGGGCTGTGTGGTGTGGGGGCTGCTGCCGGGTGTGACGAAGTGGGCCTGTTCTTAATGTTTCCTCTGAATATTGTGGGGGTGCCTCAGTTTCCCCTATGCAGTTCTTAAGTATCTAGGTGGTGGGGTAAGGGTGTATGATCATTGCAGAGCCCTAGAGGGCAGGTGTGTGCAGGGGTCTGGACACAGAGAATGGCCGACACCCTGTTTCCTGGCAACTGATGGCCTGGGCCCTTCCCCCCCTGCAAGGTGAGAGCTGAAGGGTTGGAGAACAAAGGAATCAGGTGACCTCCTGGCCTGGGAAAGGAACAAAGCCCAGAGGAGGAGGGGCTGGAGGGGTTTTCAGTTTGGGGCTGGCTGGGACATGGAGTGAAGTGCAGACCTGGTTGTCTGGCTCACTGCCCCCCAGAATGGACCCAGCAGAGGGGTCCCGTTCTCTGCACCTGCAAGCTCTGTTTTAGACCATGTTCCTGTCGTCTAATAAACCTTCTGTTTTACTGGCTGGCTGAGAGTCACGTCTGACTGCAAAGTTGGGGTGCAGGACCCTCTGGCTTCCCCAGGAGCCCCGCCTGAGCGGACTCGCTGGGGGAAAGCGCACGGAGAGGCAGAGGATGCTGAATGCTCTGAGGTCAGACCCAGGAAGGTGGAAGCTGTGTGAGCTGTGTGTCCTGAAGACAGGCTGCTCACAGAAAGGCGACTACCCCAGAGTCCTGACTGACTTCATGGGGAGCAGTTCCAGAGCATCGCCCAGGGACTCCGTGACAACTGGTGGCAGTGGTGGGATGTACTGCACCCCGTGGATGGTGCTTCCTGCAGTAAGTGACTGGGGAGCAGTAACACGAAGGGGGATTGCCGAGGACCAGGCCTGCTGAAGGCTCAGAGAGGAGCGGTTTCGGGGGGCGGTTAACCCCTGGGAGTGTGTGACCAGCGAGAAGGATTGTGCAGTAACAGGGTTCCCCTGGGGACTGCAGCGAGCAGTCCAAGGGGCGGAGGAGTCTGCAGCTCGACCCTGGCAAAGAGGTGGTGACCTCGAGAAGGGCTGGCACACTAGGGGTTCTCCCTGGAAACCGTGGGGAGCTGAGAGCACACGGGCCTGTGAGTCCACAACAACTTGGGAGGAGCGGAGTGATGGCCTGTCACCGTCTCCTTAAGAAGGACATTGTAACCCTGTGCAGAAAGAGAGGGTTGAGCGTTGGAAAGTTCACCAAAGCAGAGTTAATCGTGCAGCTGGAGGAGGATGACCGCTCTAAGGAACAGATTCCTGACCCCAACTGGGGCTATAGCAGGATCTGGGAGCAGCTGGAGCGGGAGCCAGGCATCGCCAAGACTCCTGTCCCCGACCAGACGGGGGTCTTCACGATCGGGTTCCCCATCGGGGGATCGAGACGGACGGGATTGGAGCGGAGTCTGAGAGAGCAAGAGGACCGTGGGAGACAGCGAGAGCCCGAGAAAGAGCTGCAGAAGCAGCAGCAGGATGAACTGGCGGTGGTGGGGCGGAGAGGCCGAGGGGACCTCCCCGGGGTGAGTGGGGATAGATCCCGGGGGGCCAGTTCCGCAGGGAACCTCGAGACTAAATTGCTGCCCCTAGTTAAGGGGGGGGTGTGGATGCCCACCTCACTGCCTTTGAGCAGGCTGGAGATCTGAACCAGGGGGACCCTGCGGAAAACCCCGGTGTCTAGCTCCCTTGCTGGGTCCCAAGGCCACAGACTCCATCAGCCAGATGGGTGGGGAGGTGGACAGGCTCCCACTCCTGACCCCAACCTATATGTCTGTGTGGAGTTCCCTGGGGTCAGGCCCCTCGGACCCCCAGTGGGAGCGGAAGGGGATGGTCAATGGGGAGACATTCCTGGGGTGGCGAGATCCTGGGACAGAGAGAACTGGTGTCAGACCCTGGGTGGTGCAGCCTCAGAGGCTGAGGGCCTGTGTGAGCTGGGTGAGGGTCCCAGGGACGAAGCCCCTCGCCCTGCCTATGGCCCAGATCCCTGTGCAGACCCAGGAGGGGTGGGGCTGGCTGGTCGTTGGGGTGCCCCAGGACACCAGCTGCGAGACCCTGTTGTGGGGTGACTGTGTCTCTTTGGGACAGGATCCAGGCCCTGCTCCTGTAACTGCCGAGGGTTTGAATTTGAATCCAGGGAACCAATCGGCGGAGAGGGAAATGGTCAGTGAAAATGCAGATGACCTGGCTGGCAGCAGGGAGGAGCCGCTAGGCTCAGGCTACCTGCCTGCCTGTAACCAGACCCCTGGGACTCGGTGGGACAGAGAGATGCTCCCTGCCCCCTTGCACACCAGACTGGGGACTCTCGCTGGCTCTGATGCAGTGAGGAAAGCAGTGGCCTGCCCCCACTGGGACAGCAAGGGCAGTGCTGAGCACAGTGGGAGCTGAGACCCCAGCTGAGTGGGGGGAGACACAGGCAGGGCAGGGGATCTGTGGGGAGTGGCAAGGTGCTTGGTAAGGGAAGTTTGGATGAGCCTAGGCAGCCTTGTGAGCTGATGGCTGTGTCCAGTCAGCAGGGTGGGAAGGCGAGGAGAGTGGAAGATGAGAGTCCCTGGACCTTACCTGTTAGCTGGGTGGAGAATTGGGACAGTGAAGGAAATGGGTCTCTCTGTCAGGGGTATTGACTTGCCTATGGAGGGAGCTACCCTGATCTCCAAGCAGTTGTCTGTGACCAGCCTTGTGTGCTGGGACAAAGGGAATGGGATCCCAACCTGTGTGTCTGGTAAAGGAGAAAGTGTGTACGGCTCTTCTTGGTCTGTGGAGCAGACAGAAGGGGCCTTTCAGCCTGTGATGGTTGAGGGTCATGCAGTTGTCTCAGAGCTGGTTCTGGATTCAGCTAAAGCCCAGGAAGGGAAGGGTCCTAAGTTTCTGTCTGCTCGGGAGAATGGCCCTGTAACTAGGTCGCATCCAGTTAGGGTCTATGTAAAATCCCCGAGACCAGACAATTCTGGTGCTTGTATTTTGCCTGTTGCTAGTGTGTTGTTGGAAAGGGTGTAGCAACTCTGTCTAATCAGGGTGAGATCCTAGCCAGGGCACAAGGAGAGCAGGAAGGTGATGTGATTGTGGAACCTACTGAGGGTGTGGAAACCTGTAGCAAGAAGGAAAAGATTCCTGAACTTGTGTGTGGCAAAGGGAAGGAGAATGCTTCTGACCTTTTATCTAGGAAGTCTGTAAGTTTGCATGAAAGGGGATTGTGTAGGAATCCGCCTGATGGGCCAGAGGTGATTCTGGATGTAAGGGAGACCCAGAAAGAGTCTGTAGTTGCTCAGGAAAGTGTTCCCCTAGAGCAAGCCCTAGGTAAAGAGGGTAAGAGCAGAATTTCTGGGAGGGGTGAATTGTTGCATAGAAAAGCCCTCGGGAAAGGAATCCTCATGGAGTCTTTGCAAGCAGTTTACTGCCACTGAAGGGTGTGAAAGTGATTTAATCAAGAAAGTTTCAGTTCCTAACAGCCAGAAATTTTCTGTTGTGAATGGATCCACTGACTTTCCTGTTGAAAGATCCAGTGTGGAGAGCTTTGAGAAGGTCTCAGATGGAGTGAAAGCTATTAAGAAAGGTATACCGTCCTATAACCAAGTGGCTGTGTTTGGCCAGCTTGTTGGGGAGACAAGGTTGTTGGGAAAGGGATGTCTCCATGCTAGTTCTGTAAGTGAACAGTATGTGGCCCAGGTCAAGATGGGGGCCCTTAACCAAGAGAGCCCGAATTGCAGCCCTCCAGACTGGAGCTCTGGGAGAAAACCCAATCCCAGTTTGACCCCCTGGGGTTTTGGGGTGGCCAAAGGGCATGGGCTGCAGAAACCTTCCCACATGCAGCCTGCTAGTGCTATCGACCACCCCCGACCTAAGGGAGGGCGTGAAACTGGAAGGGCCTGGTGTAACTCCTACCAAGGAACGGGAGAGATGCTGGGGCATCCATGGGAACATTGGTGGCTTCAAACTTCCCCAGGTCACCGGGTAAAGTGACCCCGCTCAGTTCGATCTCGAAGGGGGGAGAGATGTGACGAAGTGGGCCTGTTCTTAATGTTTCCTCTGAATAGTGTGGGGGTGCCTCAGTTTCCCCTATGCAGTTCTTAAGTATCTAGGTGGTGGGGTAAGGGTGTATGATCATTGCAGAGCCCTAGAGGGCAGGTGTGTGCAGGGATCTGGACACAGAGAATGGCCGACACCCTGTTTCCTGGCAACTGATGGCCTGGGCCCTTCCCCCCCTGCAAGGTGAGAGCTGAAGGGTTGGAGAACAAAGGAATCAGGTGACCACCTGGCCCGGGAAAGGAACAAAGCCCAGAGGAGGAGGGGCTGGAGGGGTTTTCAGGTTGGGGCTGGCTGGGACATGGAGTGAAGTGCAGACGTGGTTGTCTGGCTCACTGCCCCCCAGAATGGACCCAGCTGAGGGGTCCCGTTCTCTGCACCTGCAAGCTCTGTTTTAGACCATGTTCCTTTCGTCTAATAAACCTGCTGTTTTACTGGCTGGCTGAGAGTCACGTCTGACTGTGAAGTTGGGGTGCAGGACCCTCTGGCTTCCCCAGGAGCCCCGCCTGAGCGGACTCGCTGTGGGAAGCGCACGGAGGGGCAGAGGATGCTGAATGCTCCGAGGTCAGACCCAGGAAGGTGGAAGCTGGGTGAGCTGTGTGTCCTGAAGACAGGCTGCTCACAGAAAGGCGACTACCCCAGAGTCCTGACTGACTTCATGGGGAGCAGTTCCAGAGCATCGCCCAGGGACTCCGTGACACCGGGTAGCTCTGTGCCCACGGGGTGAGGTCAGGCTGCTGACCCACGTGGAGCAGAACGGGGCTGCTGGCTTTAAAGTCCCAGCAGGTGCCAGCGAAGTGTTTAAGACTGGTGCTGACAAGAGCCGCGTGCCGTGGCAGCAGGTGGCTGATACATGATACGGGGAGCGGGAGAGTCGCCAAAGACGACATTTATTGGGAGGTTTTTAAAAAAGCCCCAACCTCCAGCACGGACAGTTAGTCCCTAAGAAAGGGAGCCGGAGCAAGGCAACGAACGCGCGCTCGGAGCCGCTGCTTGGCAGGAACCGTACTGGGCCGCAATTTGGGCAAGTTGTGTTCTTTCAGCAGCTGGGTATGTATATTTCTGTGCATCCTCTGTGTGTGTGTGTACCTAGGAGTGTGCGTGCAGTGTCTGCGTGTGTGACTCTGTGCACATGCAGCGTATGCACGTCTACACACACGTGAGCATGTGCTGGGTCTGCGTGTGTGTGCAGCGGGGGGTGTGTGTGAGTGGCTGTGTGCACACGTGTGCCTGGGCGGTTTCTGTATGTGTGCGCGTGTGCGCTGGGTCTGCGTGTGTGCGCAGCGGGGTGTGCGTGTGAGTGGCTGTGTGCACATGTGTGCCTGGGCGGTTTCTGTATGTGTGCGCGTGTGCGCTGGGTCTGCGTGTGTGCGCAGCGGGGTGTGCGTGTGAGTGGCTGTGTGCACACGTGTGCCTGGGCGGTTTCTGTATGTGTGTGCGCGTGTGCGCTGGGTCTGCGTGTGTGTGCAGCGGGGGGTGTGTGTGAGTGGCTGTGTGCACACGTGTGCCTGGGCGGTTTCTGTATGTGTGTGCGCGTGTGCGCTGGGTCTACGTGTGTGTGCAGCGGGGTGTGTGTGTGAGTGGCTGTGTGCACACGTGTGCCTGGGCGGCTTCTGTATGTGTGTGCGCGTGTGCGCTGGGTCTGCGTGTGTGTGCAGCGGGGGGTGTGTGTGAGTGGCTGTGTGCACACGTGTGCCTGGGCGGTTTCTGTATGTGTGTGCGCGTGTGCGCTGGGTCTACGTGTGTGTGCAGCGGGGTGTGTGTGTGAGTGGCTGTGTGCACACGTGTGCCTGGGCGGCTTCTGTGTGTGTGTGCGTGTGTGCGCTGGGTCTGCGTGTGTGCGCAGCGGGGTGTGTGTGTGAGTGGCTGTGTGCACACGTGTGCCTGGGCGGCTTCTGTGTGTGTGTGCGCATGTGTGCTGGGTCTGCGTGTGTGCGCAGCGGGGTGTGTGTGAGTGGCTGTGTGCACACGTGTGCCTGGGCGGTTTCTCTGTGTGTGTGCGCGTGTGCGCTGGGTCTGCGTGTGTGCAGCGGGGTGTGCGTGTGAGTGGCTGTGTGCACACGTGTGCCTGGGCGGTTTCTGTGTGTGTGTGCGCGTGTGCGCTGGGTCTACGTGTGTGTGCAGCGGGGTGTGTGTGTGAATGGCTGTGTGCACACGTGTGCCTGGGCGGTTTCTCTGTGTGTGCGCGCGTGTGCGCTGGGTCTGCGTGTGTGTGCAGCGGGGGTGTGTGTGAGTGGCTGTGTGCACACGTGTGCCTGGGCGGTTTCTCTGTGTGTGTGCGCGTGTGCGCTGGGTCTACGTGTGTGTGCAGCGGGGGGGGGTGTGAGTGGCTGTGTGCACACGTGTGCCTGGGCGGTTTCTGTATGTGTGTGCGCGTGTGCGCTGGGTCTGCGTGTGCGTGCAGCGGGGTGTGTGTGTGAGTGGCTGTGTGCACACGTGTGCCTGGGCGGTTTTGTATGTGTGTGCGCGTGTGCGCTGGGTCTGCGTGTGTGTGCAGCGGGGTGTGTGTGTGAGTGGCTGTGTGCACACGTGTGCCTGGGCGGTTTCTGTATGTGTGTGAGCGTGTGCGCTGGGTCTGTGTGTGTGCAGCGGGGTGTGTGTGTGAGTGTGTTAACTACGTGCCGTGTGACCCGAGAACACAGAGCCTGAAGCGCCGATTAGCAGTGAACGGGGCAAGCCAGCCAGTGCAGAGGGCTCCCTTGTAATGAGATTGGAAGGCTGGAGGGGAGCTTTGCCTGGATTTGGGAGATGCCGACAATAACACACAGAATCTGCAGGTTGTTTTTTTTATTACTTGACAGCTAATTAGAAGAATTAATTTACTTGGGCTTTTGCAGTTTAAAAGACATTATTTACTGGTTAATTGTTGTTATTACAAAATGTTAAATATCATTTATTTTGCCCCCCTGACTGCTAATCTCCCGGTAATTTATTAGGTAGCACGGAGCCTTAATCACGTTTGTAAGGCAGGGAAAGTCCCGAACCATGACGGGAGGAGGCAGGAATTACCAGCCCCGCCAGGCATAGAGCCGGGCCCTGCTGCAGGCAGGGAACGGAATTTGTGCGAATGCTTAAAATAAAAAAGATTCCGATAAGATAAAAGGAAAGCGAGAGAGGAAGCACAGGGGAACTCGAGGGCATCAGCTTGAAGAGCTGCCTGAGGAATGCAGCCCTTGCCAGCATGGTGGGCACAGGGTCCTGCCTCTGCCAGCAGCTGGCAGGAGGTTCTCGGAGGAATCCCCCAGTAGCAAATGTGGGCTAATCTGCCCCCCACATGTGATCCCATCCTGATCTCTGATAGTTATTAGCCATTTAGAGCCGCTTGCAGCCCCAGCCATGGCCTAGGCCCAGTGTGCACGGTGCTGTACACACACAGGACCAAGAGTCCGGGGAGCCTGAGGACGCTCCCAGGACAACAGGAAGCCTGAGGAAGCAATGAGCCAATTCCACTCAGCACGATGGGTGATGTCGCAGCGCCCCAGCCACTGAGGCAGAGATGGGCGTATGTCCGGATGCAGGAGGTTTCATGTATATGTTAGCAGTAACTGTGAGAACTCTGCCTGTCCTTGCTCTCCACCTCCCTTGGAACTGTGCTTGGCCTCGCACTGTGTGGATTCGCTCACTCTTCCGCCGAGAGAGTGCAGGGGGTGACCGCCCCGATCCCTCCAGGAGCCCAGCTGTTGGGTGCTGCTGAGCTCGCAGTGTCCCGGTGGGAGCGGCTGGGCGCAGAGCCATTGAAAATCTGGCCCTGTTCCTTTTGCACCTGTTCTGCACAGGTGTCGCCGACCCCACCGGACCGGGCTGAATCAGGGCTCTTGACTGTCTTGCCGACTACAGCCGTCCTTGGCCTTTGACGACATGGAAAGTCCTCAACCGTCGCATTGATGGTGGCTCCTGGCAGCTGCAGCTTCACCTTCTGTGCCTCTCCCCATCGGCTCGGGACCCATATGTCCCAGCTAGTTCCCGGGGCTTTGCTCAGGCCCAGGGCTCTGCAGCTGGGACAGCAAAGGGTTCATTCACTTGCTGACTGAAACCTCCTTCCAGTGCAGCTACATTCACAGCAGGGTCACCGCACCGGGCTGCTGGCTGTGGAAAAGCAGGCAGTGTGCTGGGCTGGGTCAGAGGGAGGCGACTCCCAGCTGAGACCAACTCAGCCCAGGGGCCGCCTGGGCATCACCCATGGAGACGCTAGCTACAGCCTGCAAAGGTGCCTGTCTTGGGGCCTGGTAGCAGTAACGGGGGACACACACGCACACAGGCAGCGAGCCCAGGGCCTATGTGGAGATGCCAGATGCAGGTCAAGCCCACGCGACTGTTGGGTCCCCAGCAAACTGACTCGGGAAGGGTGGGTGGTGCAGGGCAGAGGGGAGGGGGTATCAGGAGGGGCAGCATTAGAGCACCTGAACCTTATAGCCACCCCTATGCCACAGGCTGCTGCAGTCAACTGGCCACGTGCCGGGGAGAGCGGCCAGGTAGCTAGCCAGCTCTGCCCTGCGGGTCTCACGCACCTGCACCAGTTCAGTTACATTGGAAGTGGGGTGCATCTACACTGCACAGCACTGATGTAAGTGCCTGTAACGATGCTGCCTCTGGCGGGACACTACTGGGAGTATCAATTCAGGACAAATTCCTTAGAGCAGGGCAGTCACAGCCCAAAGCTGGGTTTCCTTTACTATTAAGGCAAACCAAACCAGCCAAACAGAGAGGACTTCAGTCTCACCGCACTGGCTAACCACAAGTCACACAAGCAATTCCCACAGACACCCCAGTTTCCCAGTATCACCACCAGGGCCACTCGTTATGGGGACAAATGGTTATGAAAACCAATACCCCAGTAAAAGAAAAATGGTTCTCTCGATCCCAAAGGACTGAGCCCCAGAGCCAGGTCAATATACAAACAGATCTTACCCACAAATCACACTGTTGCCAATCCTTTAGAATCTAAAATCTAAAGGTTTATTCATAAAAAGAAAGAAATAGAGATGAGAGCTAAAACTGGTGAAATGGAATCACTGACACAGAGTAATGGCAAAGTTCTTGGTTCAGGCTTGTAGCAGTGATGGAAATCAAGTCTTTGGAGAATATCCCCAGCTGGGATGGGTCTTTCAGTGCTTTGTTCAGAGCTTCAGTTTGTAGCAAAGTCCCTCCAGAGATAAGAAGCAGGATTGAAGACAAAATGGAGGGGTTTTGAGGGCCTTTTGTATCCTCTGCCATGTGGAAGGAGACCCCCCTTGTTCTTACTGTGGAAAATCACAGTAGCACGATGGACTTTGGAGTCACCTGGGCAAGTCACATGTCCATGCCTGACTCAGTTCTTTACAGGAAGCGCAGCCATTGCTCACCTGCTACCGTGAAGGTTCCCAGGAAGACTTCTCATGTGGATTGGAGTCTCCCAAGTTCCATTGTCAGTTAAGTGTTTCTTGATTGGGCACTTCATCTGCAAATTCCTTTCTCAAGAAGCTGACCCAAATGCTTCACTTTCCTACCCCCGCCCCCTCCTTCCTCAGATGTTCTTGTTAAACCCTGGATTTGTGCTGGAAATGGCCCACCTTGATTATCATACACATTGTAAGGAGAGTGATCACTTTAGATAAGCTATTAACAGCAGGAGAGTGGGGTGGAGGGGAGAGAAAACCTTTTGTAGTGATAAACACCCATTTTTTCATGATTTGTGTGTATAAAAACAAACATCTTCTGTATTTTCCACGGTACGCATCTGATGAAGTGAGCTGTAGCTCACGAAAGCTCATGCTCAAATAAATTGGTTAGTCTCTAAGGTGCCACAAGTACTCCTTTTCTTTTTGCGAATACAGACTAACACGGCTGCTACTCTGATACTTGGAATCAAACACATTGAGATACAAGTACATAGCAAATATTCATAATATCAACTACAAAATTGATACCTGCACACAGACAGGACAATCACAACCAGCAGACCGTAACCTTTCCATAGACACCTCACTGGACCCCCTTCGTACAAGATTTGGTGCAACTATAGGACCTTGGTTGCCACAGTGATCTATAGAGTCACAGTTCATGGCAATGGTGCCACAGTACCACCACTGGGAGTTATTCCCATCAAGGAAGGTCTGGAGACCCATGCGTGGACACATGGCGCATTCTCGTTGACATAAGGGTCAGACTGGTGCAAATCTGGGATGGAAGCTGGGATCTGAGGATAAAAGCTGGGATCGCCGCAAGAGCCGATTTTGCTGCCTTTGCTGGGCTGCCAGTGCGGTGTGAGTCCTGCAAACACAAGGCACTTTAGTCCCATGATCAGTCTCCTTGGACACAATGGGCCGGCTAGCATGTCTAATGCCAGGCACGTGGGAGTGTGGGCAGGCCTCAGGCCGTCTTTGTTCCTTTGCAAAGGGCCCTGGATGCATTCGGGAATCAGCCCCAGCATGAGAGGAGAACGCAGGGACATTTTTCAAATTTACATCTCTACACACACTCTTTAAAACCTCTTTCTATTCTCTCAGCCCCCGCAGCGCAGCTCATGATTCACGACCTCCTGGTTTATCAACACATTTTATGCTAAAGAATTGCTTTCAAGCTGAAGCTGCTCTCCAGCTCCCACTGGGTTTACAGGCTTTTACTACAAAAGTTTTTAGGTATTTAAAACGCAGTTTATAATTGATCAGACAGTGCCGCTGCAGCCCCCAGCCCCCACGGAAGCTTGCCTGTGGGCACAGGTGGGCAGTCCCTCTGGAAGCCCAAGGCAGAAGGTGCTCTGCTGGGGCAGAGGGCAGGAAGGGGAGAGCAGAGAGAAAAGGGGGTTTCTAAGTGAGAAATCAGTTCTTCCTTCAGATGAAGAAACTCATTTCAAATCCCACTGCTCTGGGAATCAGGAGAATTGTGCTGGAAGTGAATGAAACAAGAGTTGCTGCTAAATACTCGGAGTCAAACGCTTCGATTGTACCAGGCACAAACGAGAACTGGGAGGGGCACCTTCTCTCCCTCGCTGCGTCTGAGCAGAGCGCCTGGCTGGCTAGCTGAAGGTATGGTCTTAGTAGGCGCACACAGGTCCCGACACATCCCGGCTTTGCCCCATCCTCTCCCAGCACCACCAGCCACACAGATCAGCTGGACTCGGGCACGATCCTGGGCCTGGGCATGAAGGGGCTTTTCCCAGACCAAGGCTCATCTGTTCCCCCTAGGCTGGTGCCTCTCAGGCCATCAGGCTCCTTGGTCTGCGTGGGAGGCGGCAGAGGGTCTGGAACAGTGCTGGGTCCGTTTGCCCCTCGTCTCCAATGCAATTAACGAGAAGACACACATGGCTGCTGTTCCCTGCTGTCCCCCACGTGCCCCCTGTATCGCTTGCGAGCACGAGACACGGCTTCCTTTGCCCCAGTGGTCAGCCTTTTCCTTCCCTTTTAATTAACTGTGCTCTGTGCCCTGGACAACAAAACGTTGCCTGGAAATTTAATCTCTGCAGCGTTCAACTGGTTACCTAGAAAATAGGCAAGAATGTTCAATTACCACAGCTGTTGCAGACAAGATGTGCTGGTCTCACGGCTCCTTTCATCCCATCTCCTGCCCACCCCCGCCCGGAGAGGGATTGCTGCTTGGCCAGAGTGCGGCTCTGCTCCCGCGGGTGAGGAAGCTGCA